TTTTAGGGTTACCTTCCTTAACTGAAACCCAAAGACTACAGCCTAATGCAATAGCTCACAGAGTGGCGTTCTATGTGTCAGACATGGGTACTTTCTTACTCTTATTGGCATGGCCGGCGTGTCTCCATTTACATGTACAATCTCTGAACCCCCATCCTGCTTCCCACTAGCTCTAGCATTCTAAAAACCACCATTCTGTCTTGAAAAGTTGGCTACTAATTCGTCTGTTGATCCGCGCTTTTCACGCGCCTTAAGTCTGTCTTAGAGTGGGTGGCATCACTTCCGTTTCCATGGGTGACACCACTTCCGCAAAATGAAGTACTGATTAGTGTAAGATCTTTGTTTGTGCCGGAAATACGCACGAAAAAAAAATAATTTATTAAAAAAACGTATTACGTTATACAGACAGAAGAAGGTAATTTCCAATGCAAAACGAGTTTACAAGTCATTCATTCTCTAAAATAATATTTTAGGCGTGATAATTACTGCTCTGCTAACCCACGTGCTTTTAGCGAAACGATACAAACAAATCAAGCTTTTGTAAGATTTTATGTGTACACAATGGCCAATGACGTAGTGTCTACACAAAGAGCGATGACGTGTGTGTGTACTCATTGAATGATGACGTACATGTGTACCCATTTAATGATGACGTATTATTTACACAAAGAACGCTAACGTTATTGATATAGGTGTACTCATCGGATGATGACGTAGGTGCGTAGACAAAGAACGATGACGTATTTGGTCCTGTAAAGGGGAATAACTAGCAGGCTGCCATTTCTTAATTTCATTGTTATGTCCCTTCTTTTTGGCGGTCTGATATTCGCTTTTTTTCTTTTCAATTTTTTCATTGTTATGACCCTTGTTTTCACTTTTTTATTATTCGCTGGTGATCGCAGGCCAATGGCTTGTGGCGGCTCGTATCACAGAACAGATGGCTAAACTGTAAAATGTACCTGCACTTGCTCCAAGCTGAGTTTCAAGTTGATGTATTTTTTCGTTAAATGCGTAGTGGAAGCATATATAGATTCTAGTAAAGTGTATGTAGAAATCTGTTTTTACAATAATAAAGTAACCTTTATGAGCCACATAGACAGACCCGTCCTGTACTCCTGCTAATGATAATGGAGAATCTCCAAAAATAACCAACGGATTTAGGCCCGATTAGAAAAACTTTTGTGAAGATAAAGCGACCTATACAGTAACCTGTAAAATTCCACATGTGTAGAGAGAAATGAAAATAAGTATTTTAAGATTCCTAAACTTCTAATGAAATGTATTTTGTATAAAGATACAGATTGCTCTTTCGGTTAGATCCAACTGGTCAATATTGAATTCTACATATCCGTTTCATTGTCTTCCTCAGAATCTGAAAATCAACTCAGACATCGGTCCACGATTGTCATTCAACTCAACTACGGGAACTTCTACTTCCCCTCCATCATCAGCCAGACGGTTAGATCTATCTCCATTGAAGTCTAAGAAGTAAGTTTATAGTGTTCACCATTGCACTACAAATCCTCTGCTTTGTCTCTCAGTACCTCATGATTTTTTTACATGACAAAAAAATAGCTGGAACATTTTTAGACAGTTATCAAATTGTACTCTTTATATACATGACAAAAAAATAGCAGGAACATTTTTAGACAGTCATTTTCTTTCTTTTTAAATTGTGCTCATCAATGAAAATTGAATTGATAATAACTCTAAACAATTGTCGTGAATAGTAAAGAAGTTTCACGTTTTATTATTCGCTTTTTTTCTTTTAAATTTATATTTTCGTAATTAAAATTATTTCAACCTCCAAGTGCTATTGCTTCATGAATTTTCCCGGAGCCTCACCATCTAGACGAAATTACAAATTCTATATCTAGATCTAGAGTAAGATCTTAAACTAATTCTTTGGTTTCGAAGTTACCAACCCATTTTCAAAGTTCGATGACGCGCTGCAATTTAAAATTCTTTGTTGATAGTTTGCTATCACTATATCAGCTGAGTCCACATTCTGGCTTTGGCTGTACTAAAGACTTTAGGGAAGAATCTGATCTGAAATATGCCAAACATCATTAGATCTAGATTCTAGATGTACACATCAAAGGAAGAAGCTTCGACGTTCGAAGCCGGGTAGGCCCTAGCCTAACTGCTGACGGATCGGTGAAGTATTACTATAGAAAATCTAGATCTAGATCTATATTATCTATATCTAGATCTAGGTCTAGATCTAGAATCTAGATCTAGATCAGGCCTATTAGTTAAGCTTCTACATCTAGATCTAGAGATATAGATCTAAATCTAGATTAGATCTAGATCTAGATCTAGATGAGGATGGGGGATGTCTTTTTCGATGAGCGATCTTTTTTCCCCCGGTTTGGGAGTGGGAGGAATCACAAATGAAGAAAAAAAACACTGTCACAATTTCTACTCGGACAGTCTCTCTCTCTCTCTCTCTCTCTCTCTTTCTCTCTCTCTCTCTCTCTCTCTCTCTCCCTCTCTCTCTGTGTCTCTCTCTGTCTCTCTCTCTGTATCGCTCGCATTCTTTTTTTCTTTGTTTGTCTCTGTCTTTCGTTCCTTCCTGCCAACTGGCAGACATGTCATATTATATACATTTTGCTAGCACTTCCCCCTGCGCTCTCTCTCTCTCTCTCTCTCTCTCTCTCTCTCTCTCTCTCTCTCTCTCTCTCTCTCTCTCTCTCTCTCTCTCTCTCTCTCTCTCTCTCTCTCTCTCTCTCTCTCTCTCTCTCTCTCTCTTTAACTCACACACACAGACACACACACACACACTACCGGGTCTGGGCGCTGAAACCCTCCGAAATCACAAAAGAGTTCCCCTACCGGGTCTGTATACTTTGTGACTTTGTTCCCGGTTACCGGGTCTGTATACACTTCGATTCGAAAATCCTTGACATTTTGTGAAACTTGAAATTCTTCACATCATATTTCTCAAAACTAGAGATGTAGATTCTAGGTCTAGGTACTGAGCAGATATAGACTATAGACTGTAATTTTCTAAGTTAGCGGTATATATATGTAATTATGTTGTCTTTTAGATCTATCTTAGCATCTATAGATCTAGATCTAGTCTCTATGGCAACAACGTTGCCAAGGCCAAGACAAGGCATCATGTTTTAATTTCCCAAACTTCTGCTACGCTGAAGTTGTAGAATTCAAGTACTGTCAAGCCAGCCCTAGATCTAATTATGTTCTTGTTGGTCTAGAATCTAGATCTAGAGTAAAATTTGGGAGGCATTTTTATTTTTTTAAAAAGGAACTGCCTATTTGCAACGTCGCTTTGCGATTAGTGCTGGTGTTAAATAAATGTATCAGTCACTCCAATAATTAGATTGATGTCGGACATAATGTTGTTTGTTTTTTAATTGTTTTTTTTATTTTGAGATATGTTTGAGAAAGCTGTGCAGTTGGCGAACTTTTGGAACAGAAAACCCTCCACCCTTTCTGAATTTCGGTCAGAAACGTACAAATTAGCGTGCTCAAGATCTCTTAGCCTTAGTTTCTCTCTATATGTGTAAAGATTTTAACAGTTTTGATATCATATCGCTCCCTAGATCTAGTAATAGTAGCGATAATGTCTGATGTGATCCGAGGATTGTTTGGTTGGTTGTTTTGCTGTTTGCGTTAACCACATTATGCTCAGTTTGAAAATTGTCATTTTTTTTCCTCATTCCAGCAATTGACAAGGTGTCCGATGGTAACTTAGAATAGGATCAGGTGATCGCAGGCCTATGGCTTGTGGCGGCTCGTATCACAGAACAGATGGCTAAACTGTAAAATGTACCTGCACTTGCTCCGAGCTGAGTTTCAAGTTGTTTAGGTGAGCATGCTTTGTTAATTGGTTTCAGAATTTCTCAAAGTAAGTTAACTTTTCTGAGGTTTAAGCTATTGTTGAAATTCAGAGAAGAAGTCGTTTGCTAGTATTGGG